CTGAGGTCTCAGCCTGGAGGAAGGAAATCAATTGTGCTGCTGTGCCTAACAAGGAACATGCAGAACATAGAAAGAGCAGGGTGATGGAGAGTTTAGCTCATCAGTATGCTGCTTCTCCTTTTACTGTCCAGTCATAAGCTGGGGGAGAGGCAGACCTATACGCAGAACAATTAGGTATCTTGGCTTGTGTAAATTTGAAGTTTAGATGGTCAGACATACAAATCCTTTGGCAGGTAAGATTGCTCCCATAGACTGTATGCGTTACATAATATTTGAGGTTGAATAAAGACACAGGTCCATCAAGTTCAACCTTTGTGTGCCTGTGTGTGTGTGTAGTGCGTGCATGTGTGTATATGAGTCACTGGGTGGTCTAGTTTTTAAGAGTACATGTACCCCTGTATGTTATTGTCTCTGAGGAAGGTATCTAATTGGTTTTGAATGAATCAATATGCTCTGCTGATACCACTGCTTGTGGCAGAGAGTTCCCAAAATGAACCACTGTGACTTAAAAGAAGCCGATACGCCCCTTGTGGTAAAATGTATTCTTCTCCAATTTTAGGTGGTGGCCTCTAGTCTTTGTTAGGGAGTTTACAGTAAAACGTTTATTGCTGATGTGTGTAGGTGTATTTATCTGTTTGCTTGGAGTTCAGCTTTAAACCTAGAAGACACTGAATGTGTTAAAGTTAGAAAGTCTCACATTTACTTAATTTGAAGTCATACAGTTTCCTGGTCAATTTCAGTTTAATAGATGAGGCTTCAAGAGTTCCTTTGGGCAGGATTGCACATGACTGACATGTCATTCACTCTGTCATTGTCATTATCATATCATTCTGAAACCATCCTAATTTTTTCATAGTGGTGATGACATAATGTGAATATTTTTCTGCCATCTTTTTCCTGTAATGTTCCATTTTTAAAAAGACAGTATTAAACTTAAATGCTAACTCAAGGCACACTATGTTTACAAGGGTTAAAGCAATTGAAGACTCAAAAGTTACCTCCTGTGCTTTCTTTTACATCTCCCCAGTCCTTTTTTACATGGCAAAATTAGTGCAACTCCCACTGCTTTTTTCTAGCCACTTGGATGTATGCACTGCCAGTCTCATAGACCTCAGTACTGCAGTAACATCTCCAACTTGCCATCATCTCCTCCAGGACATTCCCCAAAAACACAGGCCCAGGCTTTGTTTTGTGAATGGCCAGGAGAAAAGAAACGCAAAGTCTTGACCTCTGCAACCTCAGTTGATTTAGTGACCTAAATATTTGTTTGCAAATATGAGTATGTCAGATATGTACAGTTTTCCAGCAATCCATGTAATCTTAAAGGCTATTTCCACTTCCAACTTCAGGTGACAGCACTGGCCAATACGTGCTCACCATTTGTGAACATAATTTGAAATACATAGCACAGGGCTGCAATGCTGTGTACAGGGGACAGACCATACACCTGAAGCAAGGGAGGGTAAGCTTTGTTTGTTCAAAGGTAAGAGCAGCTGGAGGGGGGAGAGGGAGCAGAATGGTGGATGTAATTCCATTTTCCCATATTTGCCTGCGAATGAGGAATTACCCTTTCAATCATGCATTCTATTAAAATTGGACAAATGTGTATGCATATATACAGGTGTATCAAAACATTGCAGTCTCCTGATTTCTTTAAATCAGTTTTGTGGTTTCCAATCGAACATCCTGTAATGATTAAGAAAGACCAAACCAATTATACAGGATATGAGACTGAATTAAATAGAAATGCATAACAAAACATACTGTAATCACTGATCTTATGGAGAATTCCATTCAACAAAAAATAAACACCAACCATTTTATCCTTGTAATTAAAGAAGCATGTATTTTAAAAAAAAAGCAGTAGAAGGCAAACTCGGAAAAAAAAAGAAAAGAGTGGTGATAAGTACAATAAATATTGTTTTGTTATACACAATCCATTCCAAAAGAAAACTAAATTAGATTTCTTATCACCTTTCCTGAAATAAAATCATGTTCCATGTCTGTCTTTTCCAGTCTTGCCCAGTCATGCAGTGTTAGAACAACTGCTATATATACAGTAAGTACAGTAGATGCATTCACGATTGCTGAATCTACAGGGAATCGCACTTGGAATGTAAAAGGCTAATTATGTCAAATAATAAGCGGGATGCGTCCACAGATGCATTTTATTTCACAATCAAGTAATTTAAAAATATAATTATAGTATCATCTCCTCTGAATTGATATATCAGTTTTGGGGACACGATCGCTACTAACCCTTTGGCTTTTCATCTTTGGGCTCTCTAGTAACAAGGTAATTGCATCAAAATTTTCCACAATGGAAGTCCTAATCAGTCAATATGATGAGGTTTTTTTTTTTTTTACCCCAGATAGGATTTTATTTTATTTAACATTTTGAAGAAAACTGAATTCTATCATAGGAATCTGTAATTTGCAAACGTTTGATTCTCCTGAATATTTCCCTGTAAGGCTATGAAGATCCAGTCAGCTCCAAAATCCAACAAAGCACAATGTCTGATCAGCATTCCT